AAGGTCTAGTCTGTGTGTTAATAAATCCTTGAAGTATCTTTGTCTTGGCGTGCTTTGGTGTATGATGAGGGGGGGGGTCAGAACAGTTACCTCATGGCTTTTGCTGTGTTGCAATATTTTAGGGGAGGGCTTATTTTAGCACATGCGCTGAAAAGTCCAATTGGGCTTATTATCTGGGGAGGTTTTATTTTTGGGGAAACCGGGTATACCTAGCTGTACATCAGTTCTGTAGGAAATAAAGGAGAGGCTTTGGAAGTTCTGAATAGGTGTCTGGAGACTGTGACAATTTGAATGGAGCAAAGCAAGTTCAGACTAAATCTCTCCAAGTCAAATCTGTTGTTTGTTCATAAACACAGCATTCTTAAGAAAATTGGTCCTGGTAATTGCTCTGGCTAGGATAACACTCACCCAATAACACAAATAGTTATTAGCACACTGGTGCCCTACAAAAAAAATCTTGGAAGGCACTTAGAAAATCTGTATTGACAACATTTCCATCTGTCAATTCCAAATGGCCACACTGCTTGGAACCACACATATATTATGTAGATTATTAAAACTTCCTAGGTTCTCTGACTTCCAACAACAATGGGTATGATTTAAAATTTAAATTCTAAGTGGCTACTTGACAACTATAATTTGCACCTTGATCACGACTCACCTGACTATTGTAATACACTGGGGCTGCCTCAGAGATGACCTGGAAGCTACAATGGCTGTAAGTTTTGGGAGCAAAGTTACTAGGTCCCCCTCAATTATTCTACATTGCCAATGTAGAATAGTTTTCATTTTAATGTTGCTTCATTGGCTATCAATAAGCTTCCAGACTCAGTTCAAAATGTTACTTATGACCTTTAAAACCCTAAATGGCACAGCACTGATAAATGTCACCTATTGTCTTGCAATGAATGAATCTAGTGAGGTCATCCAGAGAGCGTTTCCTAGAGGTCCCTTATTTTTTTAAAAAAATCATAGGATGAAATGGCAGGCCTTCTTTATAGTAGCCCCCTTCCCAACCTCTTTCTGGAGGTCTCTTTAGTGCTAACTTTACTCAGTTTTACAAAACATTAAAACAACACTGTTCCAATCAGCCTTCAGCTGCGGCTGATTATAGATTGCCATTCCAGATTTTGGTTTTTTGGTTTATTTTTCCAGTTCTAGTCTACTGTTTGCATTGTTTCTATTTTAGCTATTTTGTATTTAGCCATCTTTGGGATTGGGGCAGATTATAAATTATGTATAAATAAATAAAATATTTTAGAAATACAGAAAATAAAAAGTTTGAACAAGGATTTTGGAAGTACCATGGAAATTGGAATAAACAGGAACAGTAAATAAAGAGCATTATAAATAATGTTTTACAGTCAAAACTGTTTAGCACTCATGAGCAACACGTATAATGGAAGGATGTCTATAATTATAATTAAACAAATCTTTAGATAAAGTTACCTAAATAGCCAGTATTCATATTTCATACACTGTGAATAAAAATGTGCATATATTTTCCCCCCCACTTCATATTTTCCTCACAAGAATAGCAATAGCAATAGCAGTTAGACTTATATACTGCTTCATAGGGCTTTCAGCCCTCTCTAAGCGGTTTACAGAGTCAGCATATTGCCCCCNATATCTGCTGAGTCACAACAGAAACCTATCAACATCCCTGAATCAAGATTGTTCTGTGAGGAAAGATAGGCTAAAGTTCCTTCAAGTTGATGTCCAGGACTGATAAATATCATCAAAAATGTTTAGTTGCTATTATTGCTGCCAAGAGAGACATATCATTTATAGAAAGCAAAGATTCATACGCTTCTGTCCCAAATACAGTATATAGCTTTCTATCGTTTTCTCAACAAATAAATAAGTGTAAAGATTTTGATTCATTTAATTAATTGGGTTTTCTTTATCTAATTTTAGAACTTTAGGTCTAAAATATGACCTAAAACAGATCATGTTTTAGGTCATATTTATGCAGAAATAATGAACATTCAAAAGAGTTCAAAAACGTAAGTACCTTAATACCACTATATGAGACTATGATTATGAGACAAGAACCATTTCTTATTTTGACACAAAAAACAGATATAGCAATGCAAGGTATGATTACTAGGTACAGAAAAAATTATGGCCGTAACTCTGTTCTCAAAGAACCGCATAGATATTCTGCTGAAATGTGCTTAACATATACAGGGTAAATACTTTTCAAAGGATTAAGGCTGAATATCATAAGAGTAGCCTTATGTCACTGAAGTAATCATGAAAAAAAATCGCTTCTGTTTTGGTAATCATATTTAATCAGTATTAGGTGGAACTGTATCTTATCAACTCTGAAGGGAAAGAAATACATAATGATCTTGGCTTAAAAATTGATAAAGGCTTATCAAATTCCTATTTAACTTTTGACCTTTATTTCAAATCATTACATATGTTGTTCAGAAACAGGCAGTGAGAACCTGCACTGACATAAACAGTACAGAGGTAATGTTATAAATGTATATACACTAAAATGATTTTTAGTAATTATGGTGTATCGTAATTATCCGAGGCCTGTATATTTTGAGCATTTATAAACACGTATGCATATTGCCAAAATATCATATTATCAAGTCAATATATTTTGTTTGAATAAAATAGGCAACATATTTTGTTAATAATATCAACAATTCGGGCACATTTTCAAATCTAGATTTTGGCAGTCATAAATACCAAACTAGACCATTAAGCATAAAAAATTAACTGTACCTGACATATTCTGATTGACTGGTCTAACACCGTCTTGGTATCAGTGACATAATCTGGACATGGAAGCACGGCACGTTCAAAGTGGGCTTGCAATAGAAGATGACATTTGGTGTGTGAGCTGTCAAAAGAATGTGCGTTGACTTCAATGGGGAGACATTTGGCCAGTTCGCTATTCATTTGATCTTCATTGTGCCTCACTGGGAGGTCTGTGTATTCTTCAGCATCCTGAAAGAGAGAGAAAGAGAGAAAGAGAGAGAGAGGTGGGGGGGAAACGAACATTAGCATAAAAAAATTGGAAAGAACTGGGATATAGACAACTAGGAGCTTCCTTTGGCAAATTTTACCCAAGCCCCTAATAAAACCACTTACGAGAAATATGGATCACAGTTGGAAGCACAGTTTGGAAAAAAGTTACCCAAGTGTTCCTAAAGCTTTCAGATTTATTCTCATCCACAAGCACAAGAAGCACTAGAAAAAGGCTGGATTACATTTACAATATAGTAATGTTTTTGGCAAAAGTTCAAATGCTTTCCAGAAAAAAATGCTCTCTCAGTTGTAAATTTGGCCAACTGCAGATTAATTAAAGTTAACTGTGTGAAAGCTACGTATGAGAATTAATTGTAATACGTTTTACTTGTGTTCACATGGTTACTGTACAATAAAATATTCTTTTTAATTGACAGATAAAGCCTCAAGACAAGAGGATAAAAAACTTGAATAATAATTCAGAAAACCCTAGAAATAATACCTAAGCAACCTCTAAAAATGTCATGGGCTTTGAACAGTTTTTTTTTTAAAGGACAGACTGCAGACAACTGCTACCTAATCCGTGATGTCTTTTCCATTCTTTTGTGAAAACTGTGGTCATTTATTTTCTGAACCAAAGGGTCAGTGCCATCTTAAGCCCTATAGAATTCTTCATGTTTGCTTCACTCTTATTTAAACCACATCCCTTAACAATATTTTAAGGGATATTTACCAAGGAGATTTTTCTTTTTGGGGCTTGGTAGCTCTAGCCATGAGACAGACTAAGGGATGGGATCAGCAGAATGGCTGCAGCTGAGCAGGTATTTCTGGAAAACAGAAAAAGTCTCCTTTCTCCCCTTTAAACAACCTGTTTTATTTACTTCCAAAATACTCCTCTGGTTTCAAACACTTTGCCTACTTCATTTCCTATGAGTTTGTGATGGATGATTGTAAGTGAAGTTCATTTTCTTATCTACATCATGTAAGTAATTAAAGGAAATTGAGAATGAGCACTGGAGCTTTTATGCATCTGGGAACGAAGCTGAATGTAGGGCACCAAGGTCAGCCTAGTCCATTATATTTTTATGTGACAGGCTGGTCTGCTTGCCCTGTCCCTGTTTGCTTAGCATAGGCAGGACAGGCTACTAACTGCAAATCTGTGCTTCTGATTTGCCCAGCTGTCCTTGATTAAAGACATCTTCCACTGCAAATGTGAAATGGCAGTGATTGACAACTCTATGATGAACTCAGCTTGTAACCCCCTGCTACTGTTTTCAGATTGCAGGAAGACAGGCGGAATAAAGAAACATCCTTCATAATCAAATCAAAGTGGCCTTGCTGTTCACTCAGATTTTTTTCTGCATTCATTTCCCTTTTTAGCACAAATCTGCCATGCAAGTTCCACAGACTACACAATGCCAATTTATGAACAACAAAAACAAGAGCCTGGCAGAACCACTTTAAAAAGACTGTTCAAAATTGGAGAACGGGTACATCAATAAGAACATTAAGAATGCCAAATGAACTGTTCCTTCATTTCCATTAAGTGTCAGTAAGAAGCTGAATGAATTTGGAAATTCAACAGGAGCTGATAGTAAAAGTGTATCTGCTGACATAGAAGGCATAAAATCACACAAGATTTGGAAGCTTTCTGATAGAAGCATAGAACTTCTTTCCTGGATTTCCTTTTGGCCAAGAGGAAATAATGAGGAAGAAAAGTGAAGCAGCTGAAAAAAAATGTCCCCAACAGTTTTTGGTTGCACTGATACAAATATTTATTCCGATTCCTCTCAACCCTTCCCCCCTTTCGTTTTTTACAGTGAAAATAATAAAAATAATAATAATCAGGATTTTGTAACCAAACAGCAATTTCAAAAATATATGCTGTAGCACTTCTTGGAAAGAGAGCTACAACAGGCCATAAAATGTATTCCTTTCTAAATTGTCAAGAACAAAAGTAACACTGGAAGCATGAACTAACATCATGCAGCCTTAAAATAGAACTGAGTCTGTGTCTACATTTCAGTTACCATTCTACATTTGAATAGTCAATGGCTATTCAGTTCTCAGACTGAGGATTTTCACAACTGTTAGCAATTACAAGTTTTTATTTGCATTTAAATCTACTCAGATCTCCCAAAATGATGGAAGATCATATTTATTGATTTTAGGGTATCACAAGATGTGGTCCTTTTATACTTTCATACAATTTTGTGTCAAAGATAAAATTAGAAGCACTTTGCATTTTTATTCATTCATTTACCCTTTTGCCTAAAAATGAGTTTCAAATCCATAAACTTCTGTTGTATTATTGAAGTTTTCACTAAAGCCTAAAAAACATTTATTCTGAGTTTTCTCTTGCCTTACCTAGCAGTTCAAAATCAATGGTTCCAAAGAGTGGAAATAATGATATAGATTTGTTTTGTTCAGGAAATATTGGTACCATTATTATAAAAAAGCTACAGCTGGTCTCTAATAAGATCTAAAGGCCCACCTTAAATTCCCAATTTAAAACTAATTTTGAATTACTGCCACCTAAATGTTAATCAGTCACATATAGAGTATCAAGTGAAAATTCACAAAAACAGATATACCAAGGGGTAGGACCCAAAAGTCTTAAAATACATAGTTTACTACCAGAAGAGCTTGGGAAAATAATAGCTTGAAATTACCGTGGCACGACAAAACCGCGGTCCACTAAAGCGCNCTTTTCATGATGGCAGGCAAGAGCAGAGTTGAAATCCTCTCTGAAACAGCTGGAAAAGGTACGTTTGGGTCTGAGGGAGGGGGAGGAATTCAAACTTCATCCTCCTGGTGCAACTTTGTGTGTGTGTGTGTGTATGTTTGTTTTAGAGAGAGTTTGTTTGAATGAAGAGAGGGAAGGGGGTAGGAGAGGCAGGGAGGGCAGCCCGCCCTACCCAGCAGGAGGGGTGTCGCCTCCGGCTTCAGTCCAGCCTGTGGCGCTTGCAGCCCCCGCCAGCTCCTCCCAGACTCGGCGCCGCAGAGAGAGAGGCCAGCCAGGTTGCCCGGGCGGCGGCAGAGGTTCCCACCAGCATTTTGATGATATCTTACCTATACATTTCCATCATTATCCATCTACAGTATGTGATGCTATTAAGGTTTTTCCTAGTGCCTAGAATCATTGAAAATCAGGATAGGGAAAAGGAACTTTTAGTTTAACCCTATAAATCCCTATATTGCACAGAACCAGGTTATCTCTGAAACTCCCTAATGATTTCTTTGGGTCCCACCAATATAGTAAGGTAAGTATGATCCAGGCCTCTGCAGTGAAACAACGTCATCTACGTAGCAAGTGCTAGGAAGGATGCCATCTTTGCTGTGGAACCTGCCCTATGGAAGGGCACATGCCCTTGTGATCCTGACAACTGTTTGCATTCCAGAAAATCTTAAAGATCAGAAGTGTTGGCTGGTTGTTAACTGGGCACACTCATATGAGATTATAATTGTGCTATTATTTCTAGGGGCTTGTGTGATATTATAATATAGTATTGTTTTTTAATGAACTGTGGTATTTTCATATTTTGATTTTGAGCTGCCTAAAGTAACTAGGTGAGATAAGCAACCATAACATTTATAAATAAATAAACAATCACATTACCTTTAGTTGCAATTAATAATCTTTCGGTATTGACTGGTTCTTTATGATTTACTCCATCTCACGTCACTGTGATTGTTAGGCTAATCCTAATACATAGCATATTAATTTATAGGCTATGCTTAGATGTCAGGATTCCAGAAGACTATGAGGTAAGTATAACACCTATTTTTATGGCTAAACGTTAGATTTAAATGCCAGCTATGAAGTGCTCCAAGGGATCTAATTAGTATAGTATGCAGCCTGTTTTACAGACTGTCCCCATGATGAAAAGGTGGACATTATATTCTGGGCTGAAAAAAGCATTCGATTATAATCAATTGCATGTATATTTGAGGGTGTGTTCTATTTTATATGGTGTTTTTTTAACCGTTATCTTTATGTGTGAGTTTTAGGGTTAGAATTATGTGTTAAACTTAGTACATCATTGCCCAGGTGCCATATTAACTTATTCCAGCTGTACAATAGCGAGATCACAAAAAAAATCATATTATATTACTTATACGGAGACCATTTCAGTTTTGGTTTTGTATTATTATTTTTTATTTTGCTGGATTGCTGGGTGTTATTGCACCCCTATTTTAATTTGACTTCCTTAAATGAATCAACATTTAAACTGCATCCAACTTTTAAGTTTCTTTATGAACTATATTTTTTTCCTATGAAATATGGCATAGAATTACTAAAATAAATTCCAAAAAAAACCCAGTTATGCTCTATTTCTTGTAATTATTTTTCTTTTGCAGCTTTTTAAAACAGAAATGATTAAATATTATCAGTAATCATATAATAGTAACAGTCAAAAAGAAGAGAGATATGTAACTGCTTTTTTCTAGACCTGGATCGCTAGGAGTGATAAAAAGATATTGCGTCTGTTTGTGTGTGTGTGTGTGTACACATTCTTCTGAACCTGGTTTTCCTCTCTACATTTTCTCCCATCATTGCACTGCATAAAAATACGATATGGCATACTAAGTCAGCAATGAGTGGTGGGCACTGTCATCTTGATTTACCTACTGATTGTGCTTTGTTGGAATGGCTGAGAGCAACAGGTGGTTTTAGTTTAAAGTTTGCTTTAGAACTTCGGGGGGTGGGGGAATATGAAGGAATTACTTACGTCTGGGGAGACACTGAGAACTTAGGTCACGCAAACCATGGAATGTATGCACAAGAAAAAAAAAATCAGAATGCCACTAGGTCCTAGAAAAAAATAACTGCAGCTCACAAAACAATTTCACCCACTTACATGCATTATGGAAAATCAAAACAAATGTATTCCTGTGCCAGTGTTAATTTGCAATTTCTTGCTAAAGGCTCTGCCATAAATCAAGTTAAGTTGCAAAAAGAAGTTTTAAGCAGAATT